CCCGGGGGGGGGGGGGGCAGGGGCAGGGTCGCCCGTCGGGGAGAGCTTCCCCCCCCCCCATCGGGGAGAAAAAGCACAATTCGTCGGGGAGAAAAAAAAATGCTATGTATTTTCTACATATGAATAGACTCTAAAATCGATTAAATGAGCCTAATTTGGAACCCTTAAATTGTAGCTTTCGTTGGGAAATCTGACCCCTCGTCAGGACATATTCCCCCCCCCACCCTCAGGCAAATCCTGGCGCCACCGCTGCATTTGAATAAATATTGACGTTTGACGTTATGACTCTAATGAGATCAGCCCAAGCAACATGCCGTGCCCTTCATGGTGAACTGTAGGCCTACTGATTAAAATGTAACTTAAATATTTGTGTTGGTTGTGAGGTAATTAAACAGTACACTTGAAATTAAGTAACTCTTGTTTTGTTTGAAGCAACTGTACAGGAATTAGGATAATTGCCAGCTTAAGTCTTACAATTGTTTGTCATCAATGAATAGCGTCCCTATTTTTGATATTCGAATGTTGACAGGTATGTAAATATACAGCATTTGATGGACGGACCTGTATGGGGGTGTAGGTGTACGTAAAAACATTAGAAACCATTAATCGACCACAAATCCCTTTAAACTATGTTTACGTACAAAGGAACGTACACACCCGCAGGTTCTGGTTATTATTTTATTATAGTTATATTTGATTCTGTTTCTGTGCTGAGTTATCACTCTACTGTATATACTATTATTTTTTTTTTTTTCTTTTTTCACATTTGTTTATTGTTTTTGTTTACTTTATTTGATTTCATATTAACAGAGAAAGTAATTTTAAAGGCCTAAAATAACAATTTAATAAATAAGAATTTGCAAAAAAAATATAAATATAATAATAATGATGATACTAATAATAATAATAATAATAATAATAATAATAATAATATTTTTAATTAGTAACAGTTCCTGGAATAAAATTAATAATGTTGAAGGTAACAAATGATATGACCATGTTAAAAATCATAAGAACAATTATAACATAATATTAATAATGAAATAAAAATTACTATACAGTAATGATAGTGGTAATAATAATAATAATACTAACAATAATAATATTAATATCATTAATAATAGCATTAGTAGTGAGAAGGTCTAAATGTTGTATTTCCAAATACCAGTAAAATACTGTATTAAACTTCTTTTTTATACTCCTCTGTTTAGAACTTTTATATTTTGTTTTGCTCGTTGTTTTTCTTTGTTTTGCTTTCTTTTTATAATTTTCTTGATTTTGTATGTTTCCTTTGTAAACGCACCATCATTCTGATGTGTGCTGCTGATCTAAAATAGTATGTTCAATAAAGTTTAGTTCAGTTCAGGAAACTGCGGTACATGAAGTACAATAAAATTGGCACCATAGTGATTGGATAGTGAGCAGTAGTACTTAACCAATCAACATACACAATCATCTGATTGGTCAAATTTCCAACAATCAAATTGTGAATAATAAGTAGATGAAATATACCTGTATAAAACAGAATTTAATTTAACAATGAGGATCATTCACAATATTGGATTTCTTAAATGAAGATTACAATAGCTAGCATTTGAGACAAGAAGTAATTTGTAAAGTATCAGTTTTAGTTATCAAACGCAACGATGGTGGCAAATGAAAGCTCGATTTTTGAAGGGTTCTCTGTTGAATTTTACTTCAAATGTGTAACTACATTTTTGGGACTTCTTTTCAATCTTTTAATCATGATTATGATTCTTAAGTTCAAGAACTTGCAGACTATACCAAATATTTTTATTTTTAATCTTGCTTTACTGGACTTTTTGAACATGATTCCGTTCATGTTGACAAGCATAGCTTTTGACGCGTTATCTATCTTGTCTGTGGAATTTGGGTTTTGTCTGTTTTACTATGTACTAGATGTATGGGTAAATTTTAACATTGTTTACATTATTGTCACATTGACCATAGATAGATACTTTGCCATCGTACATTGCATATCATTGCGACAGTACCATACCAAAAGAAATGCCAGAATTGCATGTGTGCTAACATGTTTGATGTCAATTGGCATTTCTATACCTATGTTGCTTGAAGTAGATGTGTATGAATATGACGGGACAAATTATTGTATCTTCAATAAAAACTTGGAATTGTACAGATTCATTTTGAACTACTTGATACCATTGGTCATCATGATTATCTGTTATGTTTTCATCATTAAAGTCATGGTCTCATCACAGCAGATTGATAGGAATAATACCACACGAAAACATTCAAAACGTGTATTCATTCTCGCTCTCACTATTGTCATTGCGTATGTGATACTGTTTACACCATATTTTATCTACGACCTGCTGGTGTATTTTGACAGACAATTCTATGAACAAGCGTTTCACAGTATATCTGTCTGGATGCAGTATTCTCACAGTGTAATAAATCCTATTCTGTATACTTTTATCGGAAAGAATTTTAAAAAGGATCTTTTAAAGACCTTTCAGTGCTTAGATGCTGCTCCGTGTAGACCAGATTTTCAAGTTCAATCAAGATTTGCCAGCAGATCTTCTAACCGCTTGACATTAACTACCAGCAATCCAAGTTTAGAAGTGCGGTCTAAAATGTAACAAGAAGTTGAAGGAAAATTAACTTCCTCTTTAAAAGCATCATGTAGGTAAGAAAGATTATCTACAGTTAACGAGTCCAAGCACCTTGTTTAAATCAAGGCAAGTTTGGAAACATAAGAATAGTGCAAAGCAAAAGTGCTCAACATATGACTGTTGAAAAGTTCTCAAGTTGACTGTACTTTGTAGTTGCAATGGACATTTCACCTACTGTGAAATTATATCAGTAAACCCTTAACACCAGGCTCCAGCTAAGAAAATATTGAAATAGTTGCCTTTTAAGTCACTTTTCTGCATTCTGAGAGACCACATGACTTTTTACAAATTTTTAGATTTTTTCTGTGTGATATACAGTACAGTACCGTACTCGCGCGAATAAGCGCCCTGTTTGAATAAGCGCCCCTATCGAATAAGCGCCCGTTTGAATAAGCACCCCCTCAATAATCAATTAATCCAGGGACTGCGGATGTTGGCATGATTTGAGGTGTGGGGTGGAATCACATTCTACTTTAGTCAATATCAAAATGAGGATATTTATCTTGGACAGGTGAGAGCTCCCTGGACAGACAGTATTTTCAACTTTCATCTTCTTACATTTGTCTATAGCCTAGTCCTACTTCTTTTCCGACAGTCTGCATTTAACACATTCTCATCTAAGTTTTCAATAAAACCTGCAATGATCATGCCGTCCTGCTATTCTCAATCGACCGATGGCCAACAAGCTAACCACCACCACTTATTTCATCTGTTATTCTGCTGTTATGTAATACTGTACTCACAACATTCTTGTCATGACAAGCCATGCTCTCTGGACGATTCTTTTCCGCCGCAGCACTTATATAAGTTTTTCATTCAAAATGTGCCTCTTGAATTTAATAAGTTTTCATAAGAACCCCTCGATTTTTATCTATTTCCATAAGCGCCCCCTAATTTCCACTCTGTTTACATAAGCGCCCCGTTCGGATAAGCGCCGAATAAGCGCCCCGTTTAAATAAGCGCCCTTCAAAAAGTGCAAAAAAATATTTTAAGCGCCCGGGCGCTTATTCGCGCGAGTACGGTATTTTGTAATATTACTATTTTATATTAGACAGATACACAAGTCAAGGTAGTTTAATATATACTCTAAGTATCGAAATGCACACCATCGTGTCGGGATTCAAGACACAAGTCAGTAACATGAACTACTGTGGAATGGGAAGTGATAATAGTTTGATGGCCGTATCAATAAAATGGGGGCACTTTTGCTTGGAAATGGTGGGCTCCTCTGTTATATGACAGGCATGTTAATAATGACCATCTCTTCCACAAAGTTAAAAGTAATTATTTTAGCAAAATGAGGCAGCAATTTTTGAGTAGCAGACTGCAATTTAAGATTGTTAATTCGGCAATCAAGGATTTGCCAAATTGGGTTTCGACCAAGTGGAGTCGGCAAACTGTCATCAAGTAAGCAGGAAACATATTTTGAAACCCATTGTAGGCCAGGGCTATGGGGTAGCCACCCAGAGGATATCATCTGCTTCAGTTTTAATGTTTTAAAAATATTTTATGAGAAAGAAGATAATGTAAGCAGAAATTTCAACATTTTAGTATACAGTGTCCGAATAATTCACTAGTCCTGTTGTAAGCCTTGGTATACAGATAAATAATTATATAATAATGGTATAATTTGTGTTCATTTTATGCTTGTACAAAATATTATAACAATACGTGTTTGTCATAGAAAGCAAAGAACATTCTTAAAATGGACTACCGTGTTGGTGAAAACAGTGTTCATAAAATAGATGTTGTACTGCATATCATTTGTTTCTGTGTACTGCCCGGGAAGAAGAGCTTTGCTTGAATCTTTGACATTTGTTAAAAGCTTGAATATTAGACATTAAACAAACATCACATATTGGCCAGGTAATAGTGTACATATATTGTGAATGTAAATTAATTTTTTGTGAAATAAAATATCACTAAAAAAATTCAAACCTTTAATTGAATATTTTGTCTGATTGATGGTTACCTGTATACTCATACCTACGGTACTTTACATCTTATATCCGGGGGTAAAAAAGCAATTAAAGTGATTTGAGAAATAAAAATGCATCATTTTCATAAATGAAAGAATTTAGCAATAACATTTTTTTTGTCTTGTATGAAAAATGTTTCTGGCAGAAATTGAACCTCAAACTCTTGCTGAATTGGCAAGAATCATTTGCTAGACTACAAAAGCTTCTTGGTGTACGGTATATGCTATAACAAAATGAAGCTGTAGTCAGACCTTTATTTAAAAGGAACACGATTGGGCTGGCACTCCTTCCCACGTCTCAAATTGATTGATGAAGGCGAGCAAAAAATAGCGCCCCTTAATTTACCAGGGAACTAAAACAAATGACAAAAATTGTATTTTAATTGTTATTTATAATCAAAATCTATCGAATTTTGTATTAAACTATAGCTAAATCATATTTACTTTTGATGAAACAACATTGGTGACTCGATGAAAATTTCGCGTACTCCACACTTATTAACATAAAAACCTACCTTATACCACACATGGACCACTACTCAGGGCATGCACATGGCCTGTGGAGACTTGCATCACTTGTAATGATTTGTTTTTAACATCACCAAGCCTGGATCCAGTAGGAGGTCATGGAGGTCACGTTTTTGCACTCATTCTTTTTATCCTTTATTACTATTGATTTACTTTTGTTTTTGACTCATGAAAGCATGCTGTTGGTTTTAGTTGGTTTGGGCTGTACTTTAGGAGGAGGGTGAGTGAGTGCTTTGTAACTGCAATGAATAGTAACAGATACCAAGTTAAGATAGCATCATAATACATAAACATTTGTTTGTGGACACATGTATTTGTGGAATAAGCACTCTGATCGATGTTCTGAATTGGTCAGTTATAAAGTTGGATTTGAAATGCAAATGGATGGAAAGGTCCATTCGGACACAAGGCTACGAAATGTTATAGTAAAAAAGAGATATATGATATATAGCAACTTTATATCAATGTTTATTCACTATAATTTTTACTCTGATCTTGTAGAATTCTTTGTAGGTTATTACACCGACCTTCACTTAAAGAAATCAGAGAAGAGCTACAAATAACTCTCCTCCTAGTATCAAGGAGCCCTCTCCTCAGAATTTTGCAAAATCAGTGATGTTATTGTTATTTTAAGTAGAGGGTGGTCCAGTTAAGAAAAACATATTTATTTTTATTTAAATAATGATCTTTAATTTCTTCCCCTTGGTATCATACCAATTTTCTGTGCATGTATCAATTCACACAGCCTTTTGAAAACAACCTCCAAAAAGGTGTTCTGATTATACAGTCAATTTTAAATGTCTGAATCTAATATTATTTAATACCTTAGGAGCCAGACCAGGTTTTGTATGCACTTTGAAGTGCAGAGAATTTGACTTCAGAAATTGGCTCAGGGTGGTCCAAGAATCATTTTTGGCTTGGTAACATATTTTCAAAATGTGGCAAAAGGTCAGGGTCAAAGGTCAAAGCAATAAGGTCCTTGTATCTCCGCAACCACAGGTGGTAGAGAGTTGAATGTGGTGCCAAATTGTTCATAACATGCATATTTCTATTTGCTCTAATAGAACATTTTGGTAAAAAATGACTGGAAATGTTGTTTCTGACCTTTGACATGCTTCAAGGTCATAGCCATATTGTCCTTATATCTCCGCAACCACTGGTGGTAGAGGGTTAATTTTGGTGTCAATTTGTTTTGGAACATTCATGTTTCTATTTGATCCAATAAATGAGTTTGATAAAAAAATGGCCGGAAATGCCATTTCTGACCGTTGACATATTTTATGATAGCCATTGAGTCATTATTATCTTCGCAACCACTGGTGGTAGAGAGTTAATTTTAGGGCCAAATTGTTTGGAACATGCATATTTCTATTTGCTCTAATAAAACATTTTACTAAAAAAATGAACGGAAATGCCGTTTCTGACCTTTGACAAGTTTCAAGGTCATAGCCATATGGTCCTTATATTTCCACAACCACTGGGGGTAGAGAGTTAATTGTGGTGTCAATTTGTTCGGAACATTCATGTTTCTATTTGGTCTAATAAATAAGTTTAACAAATGACCGAAAATGCCATTTCTAACCTTTTGACATATTTTATATATGACGGTCACATGGTAGTATAGCGATACGCAGTGTGGCCATGGTGTGGCCTACTTAAAGTTTTGGTTTTCTGAGCATGTGCAGATTGCGCTTATTTGCCTCATTAGCATAACAATACCACACATAAGGCTAATTCAAGAAAGACGGCTTAAACCAGCCAGCTTCCTATCCTGGTAACAGTTAAAAGTCCTTGATATACCTACATCTTATTTCCTGCAAAAAAAATGCAATTTTTTCTAGGCAAGAATCATTTGCTGAAGTACAGAAGCCTTTTGGTGCCATCACATAGTGAAGCTATAATAGCCTTCAGAATCCTAGAAGATCAGAGTAAAAATTATAGTAAAAAAACATTGGTATAAAGTTGTTGCATATCATAATTTTGCCTTCAATATATCTTCTTTATTTAAAAAAAAAATCAAAACAATCCACATTTTGTAGCCAAATGGACCTTTCTGTGTAGTCACGAATCGACATCATGAACGACCCGTTGCGCATGACGTTGCCTTCCACATAGAATCTTGTCTTCCGTCGGCATCTGTGAATGCCCGGCTTTACAGTACCAATTATAAATGTCGCTATGATCATGTGCATTTCCCACAAGATGCCATGTATGAGCGTCTAGCGACTTGTTGCTTTCAATGAACAATTTTTTCTCCCCTATTGCCTTATACTGTAGCTGAAAATATTGATGTTCTAATAACATACAGTTTGGTGTTTTGTAGTACACACAACATAACATATTAGTAAATTTTAAACAATGGTCAATTTTCCCATATTAGGTGGACACCTTCAGGAAATATTGACATTCTAATAACATACAGTTTGGTGTTTTGTAGTATCATAAATACATATTTACAATGTACACATAATTTCCAACGTTGCTGGGACCGGATGTTAACATCAGTTTCGGTCTGAACCCCAACTACAACATTCACAACATAACATATTAATAAATTTTAAACGATCGGTCAATTTTCTGTAATGCCCGCTCTCTTCTTTTAGACCTAATGATTGCAAGTTACATTTCTACCTTCTTTTTTATTTTGGTTTTAATTGTTTTCATATAAGAGTATGTTTTGAATAAATACTTAGAAGAAAAATAACGCCGAAAAAACCGATGTTTTGACTCCCTTCATGGTGTCATTTCAAGTTCAAAGAATGACGTATACAGGATACTACTGCTGTATCCTAATATAAACTAATAATTCAAACCAGCTAATAACTTAAGAAGAAAAATCTTTTAACACTACTGCCAACCCATATGAAGTGGACACCTTCAGGACCAAAAATGTATTCTCCTGAATAAGGGTTACTCATAGTGTTCAAAGATATATTTTTCCTCATTTTGAGGCTGAAAAGGTGTCCCCTTATCTTAATAGGGATGTCCCAAAGGAGTTCTACTAGAGTGTCATTTTTAGACTTCTTTCTAGAGGTGGGATATCTTTGGAAGTCCAATTAAGGAAATTTAAGAGGTAAAAGGTTGGGATTTCAGTCCCTCGCTGTGCATTTCTTGAGCACACAGTCTACCATATCTGTGTGGCTTCTCTCCAAACTAGGAGTATAAATGGGTACCAGCATCAATGTTTCTAAGAATGTAGACCCACTGACCCGAGACAGATGCGATTTGTATACTGCAAAGAAAAATTTCCAAATACCAGTAAAATACTGTATTAAACTACTTTTTTATACTCTCTGTTTAGAACTTTTATATTTTGTTTTGCTCATTGTTTTTCTTTGTTTTGCTTTCTTTTTATAATTTTCTTGATTTTGTATGTTTCCTTTGTAAACGCACCATCATTCTGATGTGTACCGCTGATCTAAAATAGTATGTTCAATAAAGTTTAGTTTCAGTTCAGGAAACTGCGGTACATGAAGTACAATAAAATTGGCACCATAGTGATTGGATAGTGAGCAGTAGTACTTAACCAATCAACATACACAATCATCTGATTGGTCAAATTTCCAACAATCAGGTTTTTCCAATTTGAATAATAAGTAGATTAAATATATAAAACAGAATTCAATTTAACAATGAGGATCATTCACAATATTGGATTTCTTAAATGAAGATTACAATAGCTAGCATTTGAGACAAGAAGTAATTTGTAAAGTATCAGTTTTAGTTATCAAATGCAACGATGGTGGCAAATGAAAGCTCGATTTTTGAAGGGTTCTCTGTTGAATTTTACTTCAAATGTGTAACTACATTTTTGGGACTTCTTTTCAATCTTTTAATCATGATTATGATTCTTAAGTTCAAGAACTTGCAGACTATACCAAATTTTTTTATTTTTAATCTTGCTTTACTGGACTTTTTGAACATGATTCCGTTCATGTTGACAAACATAGCTCATGACGACTTATCTATCTTGTTTGTAGGTTTTGGGTTTTGTATGTTTTTCTATGTACTAGATGTATGGATAAATTTTAACATTGTTTACATTATTGTCACATTGACCATAGATAGATACTTTGCCATCGTACATTGCATATCAATTCGACAGTACCATACCAAAAGAAATGCCAGAATTGCATGTGTGCTAACATGTTTGATGTCAATTGGCATTTCTATACCTATGTTGCTTGAAGCAGATGTGTATGAAGAAGACGGGATAAATTATTGTATCTTCAAAAAAAATATTGAATTGTATAGATTCATTGTGAACTACTTGATACCATTGGTCATCATGATTATCTGTTATGTTTTCATCATCAAAGTCATGGTCTCATCACAGCAGATTGATAGGAATAATACCACACGAAAACATTCAAAACGTGTATTCATTCTCGCTCTCACTATTGTCATTGCGTATGTGATACTGTTTACACCATATTTTATCCACGACCTGCTAATGTATTTTTCTGACGAATCATTCCGTGAACAAGCGTTTTACAGGATATCTGTCTGGATGCAATATTCTCACAGTGTAATAAACCCTATTCTGTATACTTTTATCGGAAAGAATTTTAAAAAGGATCTTTTAAAGACCTTTCAGTGCTTAGATGCTGCTCCGTGTAGACCAGCTTTTCAAGTTCAATCAAGCTCTTCTAACCGCTTGACATTAACTACCAGCAATCCAAGTTTAGCAATGCAGTCTAAAATATAACAAGAAGTTGAAGGAAAATTAACTTCCTCTTTAAAAGCATCATGTAGGTCAGAAAGATTGACTATGGTTAACGAGTCCAAGCACTTTGTTTAAATCAAGGCAAGTTTGGAAACATAAGAATAGTGCACAGCAAAAGTGCTCAACATATGACTGTTGAAAAGTTTTCAAGTTCTGCACTTCGTAGTTGCAATGGACTTTCGCCTACTGTGAAATTATATCAGTAAACCCTTAACACCAGGCTCCAGCTAAGAAAATATTGAAATAGTTGCCTTTTAAAGCCGCAATCGCACTGGATTTAAAATAGGGAAATTTTTACCGAGACTGTGGGTAACATTCCAATGGGTAAACTTCCTGTCGTTCGCACTGGGATTTATCGACGTGGTTATTTTTACCACAGGCCATGGTGAAACTAACCATTCGTACAGATTCAACTATTGGGGGTGCTAAATCGTGACGCTCACTTCCGGTATGTGTGGCAAAACAATTAACGAAAGCACATTTATTAATGCTCCATATAAATCGGCCATTGAAACAAACCGAGTAAACAAGTGAAAAAAATGACAAAATTACTCAAAATCAAGACACTAGCAAACACGCGCGAAATTAATCCCCCCTTAACCCCCTGTCTCTTATACACATCAGCTCATGCGTAATTGCCTGACAGCCTGAGGAAGGTCATTCACTGTGATGACTTGGGAAGTTTACCCGACTCGCGCTGTTCGCATTGGACTTTCCTGCTAGGTAAAACTAACCTGGTCAGTTTTCCTGGGAAAGCGGGACTCGGTTAAATTAATCGCGCGGCTTGGGTAAGTTTCCTGTCAGGTAAACTTCCTGTGCTGTTCGCACTGGACTAATTATGGTAAAACTAGCCAACGTGTTGGTTAGTTTTACCCAAAAAAGTCCAGTGCGATTGTGGCTTTAGTCACTTTTCTGCATTCTGAGAGACCACATGACTTTTTACAAATTTTTAGATTTTTTTCTGTGTGATATACAGTATTTTGTAATATTACTATTTTACATTAGACAGATACACAAGTCAAGGTAGTTTAATACATACTCTAATTATCGAAATGCACACCATCGTGTCGGGATTCAAGGCACAAGTCAGTAACATGAACTAGAATGGGAAGGGATAATAGTTTGAGGGCCGTATCAACAAAATGTGGGCACTTTTGCTTGGAAATGGTGGGCTCCTCTGTTATATGACAGGCATGTTTATGACTGTCTCTTCTACAAAGTTAAAAGTAATTATTTTAGCAAAATGAGGCAGCAATTTTTGAGTAGCAGACTGCAATTTAAGATTGTTAATTCGGCAATCAAGGATTTGCCAAATTGGGTTTCGACCAAGTGGAGTCGGCAAACTGTCATCAAGTAAGCAGGAAACATATTTTGAAACCCATAATAGGCCAGGGCTATGGGGTAGCCACCCAGAGGATATCATCTGCCTCAGTTTTAATGTTTTTAAAATATTTTATGAGAAAGAAGATAATGTAAGCAGAAATTTCAACATTTTAGTATACAGTGTCCGAATAATTCACTAGTCCTGTTGTAAGCCTTGGTATACAGATAAATAAATATATAATAATGGTATAATTTGTGTTCATTTTATGCTTGTACAAAATATTATAACAATACGTGTTTGTCATAGAAAGCAAAGAACATTCGTAAAATGGACTACCGTATTGGTGAAATCAGTGTTCATAAAATAGATGTTGTACTGCATATCATTTGTTTCTGTGTACTGCCCGGGAAGAAGAGCTTTGCTTGAATCTTTGACACTTGTTAAAAGCTTGAATATTAGACATTAAACAAACATCACATATTGGCCAGGTAATCGTGTACATATATTGAGAATGTAAATTTTTTGTGAAATAAAATATCACTAAAAAAATTTAAACCTTTAATTGAATATTTTGTCCGATTGATGGTTACCTGTATACTCATACCTACGGTACTTTACATCTTATATCCGGGGGTAAAAAAGCAATTAAAGTGATTTGAGAAATAAAAATGCATCATTTTCATAAATGAAAGAATTTAGCAATAACATTTTTTTTGTCTTGTATGAAAAATGTTTCTGGCAGAAATTGAACCTCAAACTCTTGCTGAATTGGCAAGAATCATTTGCTAGACTACAAAAGCTTCTTGGTGTACGGTATATGCTATAACAAAATGAAGCTGTAGTCAGACCTTTATTTAAAAGGAACACGATTGGGC